TGTGTGTGTGTGTGTGTGTGTGTGTGTGTGTGTGTGTGTGTGTGTGTATGTGTGTGTTCATGCTTATGTGTGTATGTGGAGGTTAAAGAATAACTTGAGTGTGTATTCTTTCGTGGGAGCCATCTGTGTTTTGAGATAGATCTCTCTATCTCTGTCTGTCTCTGAGACCTAGGGCTCACTGATTTTTGGAAGATTGACTGATCAGCCAATCCCAGGGACCCTTCAGTATCTACTTCTCCAATGCTGGGTTTACAAGCACATGCCATCATGACTGGCTTTTTAGGTGGGTGCTGGGGATCAAACTCAGGTCCTCATGCTTGGTTAGCAAGTACTTTATTGACTGTACTATCTCTGCAGCCCCTAGACAGTTATTTTAAGGTCTCACCTGAGCAATGCAAGTCTGCATCCAGAGTACAGGGGGCCGACACTGGTTTTACTGAACAGTGCTCCAAACTGTGGAGAAAGGTAAGAGGCTTGAGAACAATGTTGAGGATTTAGGGTTAGGGCCTTCTTCTTGGTTGTGACCTTGTTTGGTGAGTGCAGCTTCCATCTGTGGGTGGGCCTTGATACACTGGGGTGGATATCTCACCAGCCTCTGCAGAATTCTCTCAGTGACATTGAACTTCCCGGATCCTGGGTGACTCATATCATCCACAAACTCCAGATTAGTGATAGTGAAGTTGATGGTAAAAGGCACTGGAACAGGGCCTGCTACTGTTGGAGGAGGGAGTAATGTGAGAAGCACATAAACACATTATCTGAACTTTATCTTATTTTCACTTTCTGAACTTGAGTTGGGGCATACAAATACATCTTCTCTCACTCAGAAGGGGTTTCTTCAAAAGTGGGCAATTTCCACCTAGAGAAGACTCAAACATCAGTTTCTCTTGATAGTTATCAAGGATGAATAGGATTCTTCTAGACTGGTAAATATACTATCAACCAGAAAGGAATTATATTTGACTTTCAGGAGAATGAAAGTCACATAAGCATTCTCTTTTTTTGAATTTTTGTTTAAACCAAATGTATTCTTGACATCTGCTTATTCACTGAATATATATATATGTGTGTGTTTAGACATATATGTGATTGAGCATATGTGCACATACTTGTCATGTGTATGTGGCAGTGCATACATGTGAATGACAGAGGACAGCCTAGATTGCTTTCCTTCAGGAATTGTCCATCTTGCTCTTCTTGAGACAAGGTCTTTCACTGGCCAGGTATTCACCAAGTAGGCTTGACTGGCTGTCTAGTGAGTTCCAGTGATCCTCAAGGCTCTATCTCCCGTGAGCGAGGATTGTTAGTACCTGACACCAAATCACTTTTTTCCTTCTTTCTTTTTCTTCTTTTCCCCCTTCCCACTCCCCTTCTCTGTCTTCTTTCTTCTTTCTCTCTCCTATCTCTCTTCCCCACCCCCAACACACATGGGCTTTGGGAATTGAATTCTGATTCTCAAGCTTGCAAGGAAAGCACTTTAGAACTCAGCTATCACACCAACCCTTATTATTATTGTTATTATTATTATTTTACTAAGAGTTTTTTAAGGTGCACCTTCTCATGATGTTCTGGCCAGAACTCCAAATAAGAACTTAGGAAAAAACCCTACCAACTGCTTGAAAATCATTTGCAACTCCACTAGACAGTAATCTTGATACTCAACCATCACTTTACTTTTGCAGGATCCCATAAAGAGAACATTGTCCCCATGACAGCACGAAGCAATTCTAGAGGACAACGTACCCTCTTCCAAAAAGTTTGTCCTTAGGGCTGGGAACACAGTTTAGGGTTGTTGATTATTACTTGTATCAGGTAGAATGTTTGGGTGGAAACTATGTAAGTTCAGAGATTTTAAAAGAAGGATAATAATAGTGGATAATAGAGTGAATACTTGTGAGCTATTATTTACGAATAATTTACATTGGTATAGTTTTTTGAATATTGATACAAGCTCAAATTATATTTGTTATTCCTGTTTACAGTATTTGTAAACCTATGCAAAGTTATTCTGTCAGATTGTATATATGCATGTTTTTACCTCTGTTTAGGACATTTTGTATATTGATACAACTTTTAGGATATAGTTTCATATTGCATTATATATTATTCTTACCTCTGATCAAGATATTTATACATTGTTTATATTTTGATGTCATTGTCCTGATTTGCTGCACATTTGTTTACAGATTATTTAATATTCTGACATGAAGTATTAGTTGGTATAGGAGGTCCTTCTGTATTTGTGTTGCTTTCATTGGTTAATGAAGAAACTGCTTTGGGCCTAGTGATAGGGCAGAACTTAGGTAGGTGGAGAGACAGAACTGAATTCTGGGAGGAAGAAAATAGAGTCAGAGAGAGAGCCACCATGGAGTCGCCAGAGTCAGACATGCTGAATCTTTCCTGGTAAGCCACTGGCACGTGGTGATACACAGCTTAACAGATATGGGTTAAATTAAGATGTGAGAATTAGCCAATAAAAAGTTAGAGCTAATGGGCTAGGCAGTGTTTAAATGAATGCAGTTTCTGTGTGATTATTTTGGGTGTAAGCTAGCCAGGCAGCGGGACAAACAACAGACCCGCTTTCCATACAACACTTAGTCTTTAAGTTATACAGGTATTAAATATTATAGGTCAATAGTTGTTCATGTTTGTTATACATATAGTCAGATTAATTAGGTTCTTTAGATACATAGAGATTGTACTCTGCCTAGATAGCTTATCTTCCACCACTTCAAGGATCTGTAGAACATGACATTTAAATAACTTAGGGTTCTGTTGATATGAGACATGATTGTTCCTGACAGCACCAATCTATTCCCAAGAGAATGTTGAGCACTGAAGACACTCCACTCAGAGTTTGCTTTCTTCTTAGAACAATTAACCTTTGTACTATAATTTTTATACATAGTAAAGGACCTTATACATATTTATATTAAGGAATATATTAATGATGAATTATCCAGAATAACCACTTATCTATTCAGTAACAGGAATCCTTTAAGCAAGCTGTATGTGAATTGTTTAGTTGATAAATTAGGAATTTGATCTTTTGCTGAGATGTTTGATAGTACACCAGTGACTGCACAGTAGATATCTAGTCTCAGCCAACAGCCCTGCTTGTATACATCCTTCTAAGGGCTGGGGAAGGATTTAGACATCGATCACCACCAATAAGCATCAGAAACAATTACCAGAGATACTGAATACCAGGAAATAGAATTAAAGGGATTCTTGGTGGCCTGGGATGAACCTATGAAAGTCATAAAGAGTTAACCTTGGGATCTTCTGGAACATGTCACGTCCTCCACACCTCCTCCTGACTCTAAGGCTCTAGAACCACTGGAAATGTCTTCAGAGAGAAGAATTCCTACCTGTATGGCTGGGAAAGCTGGTAGTCAACGCTGTAGAAGCAGTGGTCATCACGGAGACTGTGGAGGTAAATTCTCAAATTATTAGAATAGAAACCCCACTGGTTTGGAGACATCAGGGGAAGAATGCAGATGCTGGGGTTAATTTTGTGTTTAAGTCTCTATCCATCACAGGCTAGAGATGAGGTTGTGTCATTTAGCATTTTCCTTTGAGTTGAAACATTTATTCGGAAAAGGAGAGGGGAGGCTCATGAGCCTTAGAAAAATTATCAAACTTCACAAATCTGGTCAAGCTAAAGCTGAAGCTTCTTCAGAGCCCAAGGTTATAGAAGCCATGGAAACCGTTTAAGGAAGAAGGTTCTGACCAGCTAAGCAGCCTCAGAGAGACTCTCTGACCTGGTGAGACTCCTGCAAGTCACATAGAGAGCTTCAGGGATCCAGTTTCTCTGAGTTTTGACCCATGCTAGGTGGCTATGAACGATGAAGCTGCCTTTGAGTCATGCCCACTTTTGTGAGGAACCCTAATAAATGCACTGGTTACCCAAGGTGGATGGTAGTATAGTTGCTACTTTGGTGCATAATCAGTTCCCTCTCTTAGATGAGTAGATGTCTGTGTGTTGCCTCTCTCAAGGGAAAGTCTCACACCACAGTTTGGGAAATGGAGACTGGACTGTTGACTTCCATGTCATTCCAATGACATGGGAATCATAGGCATAGTAGAGATTTATAAAAACTGAGAATACTCACTCTTGGTGGTGGTAGCCAGGTTTTGATGTGTGTAACCTGCGAAGAAAATGAAGAAAAGACTGAAAATGGAGGGGGATACTGATATCGAGGTAAGAGAGAGAATGTGGGCTCTTCACTAAAGCAAAGTGAAAGTGGCCATTGCTCACCATCGACATAGAGACTGTTCTGGTCCAGAGTATAATGGCCCAGTCTGCTGACACCATAGGTCAGCCTGCTGAGCTCCCAATACACTTTCTTTCTGTCCATTCCCTGGCCAGTGGGGTCGAGGTGGTGAGTGCAGACTGCATCCACTCCTGTGCCTATACCATCATTTTCAGATCTGGGAAGGACAGGTAAAACAATGGACAATAAAGGACTCCTTAACAAAGCATCGTGAAATGCTAGGATAGGGTAGGGAGTAGCCAGAGTAAATGAAAAGGCTGAAAGAGGCCCAGAGAGATGGATCAACAAATGGGGTAATTTGTCATCAGTCCTGACAACTTGGCTTCCATCCCTGGGACTCACATGGTGGTGTCAATAAATTATCCTCTGACTCCCACATGGATGCCATGATACTGGTGTGTTCACACACACACACACACACACACAAATGCATGCATGCATTTACATGTGCATACTGGACAAATAAACAACTTTTACAAAGAAAAAAAAAAGAAGATTGGAAAAGACCAGAAGCCAGAGCTAGATTCTGAGCATATTGATTTCTCCTAGACTGAGACAATCAGAAATCATGGAGTTATGAATTTTTATCAAATACAAGAATCAAATCTTCACACTCATGTTTTGGGATCTGAGAAGCTCACATATCTAAGACAAGTGAGAAATGGATTTAGGATTGACAGCAAGTGGAAAAGAATTTTTTTTTCTTCACAGTAATCAGAGAACAGAATTTAAATGTGTAAGGTAGCCTCTTTTAATTCCAAAGGCAGAAAATGGGATTGGGAATTTAGACAGGATAACCAGGAACAGTAAAATTGTGATGATGATCTACTGAGTGTGGAGATAGTTGTGGGAGACTGGTAGGATTGGAAGATACCTTGTGTCAGGGCTGCCTCACTTCACCTGAACAGAAGCTACGCAGAAAGACAACAGAAGGAAATTCAATACATTTTAGCTCTCACACCCCATTTCCATATCCCCAAACCCACCTGAGAGAGGCCAGTACACAGCCAGCATACACAGGACCAACACTGGATTTTTGGAACAAGGGTCTCAGCTGTGGAAGAAGATTAGAGGAGTGAGAGGAAGAAATGAGCAAGTAGAGGTGGGGCCGAAGTGAGACTGGCAAGGTCCTGAGACATGTCATCCTTGGGGTCAGGTTGAGATGGGCTAGGTCTTCTTGTAAGATTTTATCTTTGCAGTTAGGGGTAGACTCTTCTTCCAGTGGTTTGTGTGGCAGGAAGGTATGACTTACACCAATGTGCCATGTTAAATTCAGCGGGCAAGACTCTCACCAGATTCCAGGAGCTTCTGTGACAGGTAGGCATGGCTTACACCTGTATGTGGTGTTAGGTGCAGTGGGCAGGACTCTCACCAGATTCCAGGGACTTGTGTGACAGGTAGGCATGGCTTACACCTGTGTGTGCGGCATTAGGCACAGTGAGCAGGACTCTCACCAGGCTCTGCAGAATTCTCTCCGTGATATTGAACTTCCTGGATCCAGGGCGACTCATGTCCTCCTCAAATGCCAAGTTAGTGATGGTGAAGTTGATAGTAAAATGCACCAGGACAGGGGCTGCTGCTGCAGAGAGGGTGGAGGAAAGACTCACACTAACACAATTGTTTTTCTCTGAACTTGAACTTGGAGCATCATCTGTGTAGTCTTGCACAGAGGAGAGTCTTCTTCTAGGAAACACATGTTTTCTTGGAAAGCAGACCCCACACCAGCTTCAAATAAATTACAAAGGATGGGTGTGTGTGGCTGGCTTCACCATGAAGCAGAAAGAAAATACATATGTCTCTCCAGTTGGCAAAATCACTATAGGTTTCTTCCTTTCCTGAAGTTCCTTTAAAAAGCCAGGCCTTTTCTGAAGTCTCCATACTTATTGGTTTAAAACAATACTTCAGTGAAGATTGTGGCAGCATTTATTTATCGCTTATCTAGTGATGACTGTGTGTGTGTACATGCCAAAGTGTGGGTGTGAAGATCAGAAGAAAGCTTTCAGGAACTGATTCCTTTCACCGTGTAGGTTCCAGGAAGAAAATTGAGTCTATCACACTTGGCAGCAAAGGCCTTTCCTCCCTAAGTCATCTTACCGACCTGTCCACAGGTAGCACTTAGATGTCAGATCATGTCTGAAGTTTTTTGCTTATATCAGACTGATAGCTTGCACTGGACAAAGCATTGCAATGTAATGCAAGTAGCACCAAAATGGAATACAAATGTAAGAACTGTAGCAAATTATGAAGGATTTGCTTCCAAGTCACACAGTATATAAGTGGCAGGACCGAATGCTAATATTGGACATATATTGCCAACTTCATGTTTGCTATGCACTCGGCTTATGTGAGGTTATACTATTACATTAGATTTGATTTTCTTACTGGGAATGTGCATCTATATGACAGTGCATGTTGATATATGTGTGTATGTGTGTGAAGACCAGAGGAACAACCTTGGGTATCACCCTCGGGAACACCTTCTACTTCCCTTGGAATAGAGACCCCAGTTGTCCAGTGAGGCCCAGGCACCTGCCTGTCTTTGCCTCCACGTACTGAAATGTCAAGTACTCACTACCACATCTGGCAATTTTCAATGGGCTTGAGGAATCAGATTCTGGTTCTGGTTCCAGGTCAAGTGCTTTATGGAGGTACTCCTCTGCCCTGAGCTGGCTTTGGACACAGTGACCACCGTACACTTCAGGTCTCACCTAGCAGCCCTGCTGGTCCAAAAGGCTGGGAAAGGATTTAAAACTACAGACTGCCTATGGGTTACATAGAGGGGTTTTAGAAAATGTCTTGGGCTATTAGGTCTGATATTTAAGGAATTCTCAGGAAGCTGAGATGTGCCACCTGTTCCATCTTACCTGTGGGACTGAAGACAGAGGTTGTCATCCTGCTAGAAATGGTGGTCACCACAGAAGCTGAGGATTAAAAGGTACCAGGTGTTTAGAGTTAAAATCCTTTCATTTTCAAGATACTAGAGGGGAGTGCACATGCCTGAGACTTTCACAGAATGTGCAAGTGCGCACCTGCATATGTGCATATGGAGCCAGAGGGCAACATTCAGTGTCATTTGTTTTGAAAATTATTTTACTTTATGTATGGGGTGTTTTGCCTACATTGTGTCTATGCACCATGTGCATACCTGGTGCTCAGGGAGGCCAGAAAGGGGCATCTGATTCTCTACAACTGGAGTTATTGATGGTTTGAGCCATTGAGTGGGCATCTACAATAGAACCAAGGTTCTCTGGAAGGACAGCAAGTGCTGTTAACTGGTGAGTTTTCTCTCCAGCCCCTTTGGTATTTTTCTTCCTCAGGCACTGTCTACTTTGTGTTTTAAGACCTAGGTGTAAGGGGTCTGGCTCAGAGATATCATTGGTCAGCCTGCTCAGTTCCCAGTACACTGCTCGCTGTTCAGGCCAGGTTGTAAGACCTGTGAACCCCCAATTCAACTAGGTTGACTGATCAGTAAACTCAGATACTGCTGTTTGCTCCTACTAGAGCTAGGATTACAAATGTGCACCACTATGTCTGGCTTTTTCCATGGCTGCTAGGGATCAAACTTCAGACCTGATGCAAGCACTTTACTAAGCGCTATATCCCTAGCCTGACTTAGGACAAGGGCATAAGTTTCCATGCAGCCATAGCTGGAGAGGGCCTGCAGAAATGAATGTAGGGCTTTTGTTTTTATTTCATGGGGCTGGGACTTACAGCGTAGGAGATCCTTACGGAGCCTCATAATACTCACTTATGGGTATGATGGACAGGCTCTGGTGTGTGTAACCTGAAGAGATAATATAAGAGCGAGAGGGGGCAGGGTGAGGACGTGGAGGCTGGGAAGGAAGGATGTATGTTCTGCAATAGAGCACATATGGCCACTACTCACCGTTGATGTAAAGGCTGTTCTGGTCTAAGGTGTAAGGGCCCAGCTGGGTAATGTTATTGGTTAGCTCTCTCAATTCCTCATATACCTGCTCATTGTCCAGCTCAGACTCAGTGGGGTCTGGATGGTGAGTACAGATGGCATCTACCCCTGTGGCTGCTCCATCGTTCTCAGACCTGAGAAGGATAGATGAGGAGAATGCTGATAAGAGATTGCCTAGAACACATCTTAGGATGATGGGGGCAGGAGAGGAAGGAGGCAGGGGAGATGAGATGGCTGGTATAGAGGTGATACCTCAGGCCTAGTGTCTCTGAGTGCACTGACTTCCAGTAGCCTGTGAACCCGAGTAGACATGGAGTAAGGGATTTTTATTGAATGTGAGACACTAATCTATGTTCTCATGGTGTGAAGAAGAGAGAGTTCATGTTTAAGACAGATAAAAATTTTGAATAAAAGCAAAGAGAAAAGACATTAGTGTCTGTACTGGTTAGCTTCAACTGTCCACCGGAATCATGGAGAAAAAAGAGTTTAAATGGGGGGTTATCTCCATTGGTTTGACCTGCGGTCATGCCTGTGTGGACTGGTCTTAATGAAGCTAGTGAATGCAGGAGTTCCTATCCCATTGTGGTCGGCAACATACTCTAGACAGCGGACCCTGAACTGTATAAGAATGGAGAAGTCAAACTGAGTGCAGGCGAGAGAGCATTCCTGCTTTTATTTCTCTGTTCATGATTGTGGGTGTGATGTGACTGTCTCAGTCATCAGTGGTTGTGACTTCCCTGACGGTAAGTATTACTGTCACTTGAAAGTATGAGCTAAAATAAGCTATTTCTCTTCTAAGTTACTTTTGGTTGAGGTGTTTTATCACAGTGACAGAAATAAAACTAGAAAAATTCTGGGGATAGAATTCAAGGTTCCCTTTCTCCACAGTGAAGGAATAAAGTTGAAATTGAGAATGGATGAACAGGAAAAAGCCGTCAACCTGCTGTGGTCTGCAGCTGTGGGACTGACTCAAGTAGCAGTTGTTGGGTTAGAGGACACCTTGGATGTTGGATTCAGTGCTTCCTAAATGCCACATGCGTAATGTACAGACAGGAGAAAAGGAAAGACCCCAACCGCATTTTGGGTCTGGGGCGCATTGAGGATCTCTGACTTGTTTAATCTGAGGACTCACCTGAGCAAGATCAGTCTGCAGTCAGAATACAGAAGACTGATGCTCGTTCTATTGAACAAAGACCAGAGCTGTGGAGAAAAGGGAGAAGGCTGTGACTACAGGGACTGGGGGAATAAAAACTGCTTTTGAGATGTGTGGAGCTAGTCTCCAATCTATGCAATCTATGGAAGAAGCTTGAGGTTGATGAGGATTTCTTGCAGAGTGCTGTCTAACTGATAGGTGTTGGCTTACATATGTGAGACATTATGTGTATACTGGGCAGAGCTCTTACCAATCTTCGGAGGATTCTCTCAGTGGCATTGAACTTCCAGGATCCAGGTTGACGCATGCCCTCCTCATACTCGAGGTTAGTGATGGTGAAGTTGATGGTGAACGGCACCAGAGGAGAGCCTGGCACTACAGTGGGCACAGGAGAAAGACATTATGAGCTGCAGCTTCCTCTGTGAACATGGGTATCATCCAGCACTAGGTTCTTCCTCTAGGATCACAGGTTCCCCAGGAAAGGGAGTGGATCCAGCATCACCTGCCATGTATCAAACCTGAGTAGAATTTCTCTGTGGGGGTTAGTACTCCATGGTGCAGACACTAAACACATCAGACCCTTTGATGATAAAATTCCAACATGCATCTTTGTCTCCTGAGTTTTCAATTAATCCAATTTGTTTTTCTGCAACCCAACCCATGTGCATGTTGTTTTCTTCCTTCTTTTCTTCCTTCCTTCCCTCCTTCATCCTTTCTTTCTTTCTTTCTCCCCTCTCTCTCTCTCTCTCTCTCTCTCTCTCTCTCTCTCTCTCTCTCTCCCCCTCTCTCTCTCCTTTCAGAAAGGTAAACGGTTTAGAATCTGTGAGATGACTCAACAAAATCACTTGTTCGATGCGCCAGGACCCACACACTAGAAATAAAGTACCGGCTCCCACAGGTCGTCCTCCGCTCTCAACATGCATGCCATCGTTTCTGCACACACATGTCTGTGTGCACACACAAGTAAAAATTAATTTTTAAAATACTTTTAAAGGCAGAGAGTGGACTAGGGAGACCGTTCAAAGTCAAGAATGAGGATCAAGGCTTGATTCTGGAACCCCATTCACAAAAAAAGCCAGACGTGGCGGTATACACTTCTATTTCCAGTGTTGGGGAAGTGGGAACAGGCGGATTTCTGGGGTTCATTGGCCAGTTAGCTTCTCCTACTTGGTGAGTTCCAGCCCAATGAGATGCTTTGTCTCAAAAAACAAAGTATAGAAGGCATCTGAGGAATAACACTTAAGGCTGGCCTTCAGCATGCAGACATGTGCACATACGTGCAAGCTACTCCCGACTGTGCACACACATGCACACGGGAGAAGAACGATTTGAAGAAATATATTGGGGCTATACTCCATTTTACATGCTTTTCTTAAATTGGAGCCATTGATTTGGTGGGAGATGATATTGGGAAGCTTATTTTATATATATAAAATTTGAGCCAAGGGCAAATTACTCATGTAATCTTGAAACTGGGGCTGAGTCAAGCCCAGCTTTGTTGCCTCAGTATGTTTATCCTCAAACCCTTTACCAAGGTCCATGGACAGGTCCAGATGACACTAAACCTCAATTTTCTTTTTCTTTTTAAAATTTTTATTAAACTTTTTGTTTTGTTTTGCATTTTACATACCGACCACAGCTCCCCTTCCTCTCCTCCTCCCACTCTTCTCCCACCTTTCCCTAATAGTCCCCTTTTCATGCCTCAGAAAAGGTAAGGCTTCCCAAGGGGAGTCAACAGAGTCTGGCATATCAAATTGAGGCAGGACCAAGGCCCTCTGGCTGTATGAAGGCTGGGTAAAGTATTCCTCTGTGGGGAATGCGCTCCAAAAAGCTGGCTCATGCACTAATGATAAATCCTAGTCTCACTGTTATTGGGCCCACAGAGTGCCCAAGTCACAGAACTGTCACCCACATTCAGAGGGCCTAGTTCAGTTCTATGCAGGTTCCCTAACTATCAGTCCAGAGTGAGTGAGCACCCACTAGCTTGTGTCAGGAGCCGGGGAGGCAGAGAAGGGGAGCAATGAAAGAGATATCTTGATAGAGGGAGCCATTCTGAGTTAAGGAGAAATCTGGTGCTAGGGAAACTCCCAGGAATCCACAAGGATGACCTCAGCTAAGACTCCGAGCAGTAGTGGAGAGGGTGCCTGAACTGGTCTTTCCCAGAAATCAGACTGGGGAATACCCTAATTATCATCATAGAACCTTCATCCAGTAACTGATGGAAGCAGATGCAGAGAAACCTCAATTTTCTTAAGTAATCAGTGACCAGTATACCCTGGGTACATGTTTGTGTTTGCTAGAATTTAGAGCCCATTAGAGTTCTGGCCACGCCCACTTGCAGCAGCTTCTTCCTTTGCAGCAACCATTGTAATGGAAATGAGAAGCTCTCTACAGAAAGCCTGTTGGTGAATTCTAACCCCTAATAGACTCCTCAGGTTCTCAGATTCCAAGAAAATAATAGACAATATTCCCCACCCACCCCCAGGAAGTTCACAGATTTGAGGATGCCACACTCAAACACGTTCAGAGCACCACCAGTGCTGACACATTCCACACACTACACCTGTAACTAGCTGTGTGCCCCTCTTCTCACTTCCTCTGCATCCCAAGAGTCACACATTCCTTCTTGGAAATGTTAGATCCCTCTCCTTCCTCTCCCTAGGAATCAGGGACAGCCTGACTACATGAACCACCCTCTTCCTCTTAGATCTTTAAGAAAGGATCTTCACTGCACTTCATGGGCAGGAGTTGTACTTATTGCCAGGATACTAGTAGAAGCCATAGCAATTTGATGAAAATTAAAAGGAATCAAAGAGAAACTGTTTTTCTCTAGGTAAGGACTCCTCCTCAAAAGATTGAAAAATCATTTTCACTGTCTGAATCTGTTCTGGGAGTATCTTTTCTGAGTCAGGGGATAAATACTGCAGATGAGGAAAACTTAAGCTCTTTGGGCTCCTTCCCTTCCTAGGGATGTGGGATGGGGGGTAGAAAAAAGGTGACATGATATGTGGGTTCAAATTACTTACTGCTAGTGTTTGAGGTCAGGAGCCAATGGTTATAACCTGCATAAAGAAAAAAAACAAAAGTTAATATTCAAGTAATAAGGAATGAAAAAGTTGCAAGAGCCTGGAATCAACGGGAGAGCATCTAAGGCCTTGACCATGCTCGGGATTGGAGCTACCACTTATCCAGATCCCTAGACTTCTACTTGGTTGAGACAGGTCTCACATTTATAGCCCAGATAGATTTTGAACTCATGATCTGTATGCTTATAGCTCTCGTAAGTGGCTGAGATCACAGGTGTGTATCATCTTAAAAGTAGCTGGAGAACAGGTATGTGTTGCCTGGCCTAGTTTGGATTTATTTTTAAATCATTTTTTACCCACCGCTCTCAAAACGCAGATTCTAGGGCCCAGTGCTAAAAATCAGAGGTCAATAGGAGAGCACTTGTTCAGCATACATAAAGTCCTGCATTTGAACCCCTGCAACACACACACACATGCGCGCGTGCACACACACACACACACACACGCGCACACACACACACACACACACACACACACACACACACACAAAGACTCTGTAGACAAAATCTAGAAAACATAATTAGAGCATAAAGAAATTCTTTATCAGGTTGTCTGCAATTCACCTCACATCCACCCCCTGCTACTTCGGTATCTAGTCTCTCCTACATTTCCAGAAAAGCTATTGTTTCTCTTTCCCAATGTTTCCATCTTCCTTTCCTTTCTCTCCTCCTCCTCTTTTCTCTTCCTCTGTCTTCCCTTTCTCTCTGTCTCTCTGTCTCTGTCTCTGTCTCTCTCTCTTTGTGTGTGTGTGTGTGTGTGTGTGTTCTAGAGCCTAGAATGTACAATGAACTCCCTGGGGAAGATACCTGCAGCTGCTCACACACTCACCGTTGACATAAAGGCTGTTCTTGTCTAGGGTTATGAAGTCCAGCTGGGTGATGCCATGAGTCTCACGGCTCAGCTCCCAGTAAAGTTGCTTTGGATCCAGCCCCATGTCCGTGGGCTCAGATCGATGGGTACAGATCATGTTCACTCCAGTGGCTGATCCATCCTTTTCAGGTCTGGGTCGTGGAGATATAGGGATGAGAATAAATTCAAAGTGGATGAGGAGGAGGCTTGTAAGATTGTCTGAGGGCTGGAGATACGGCCCAATAAGATAATGATGCTTGCCATTCTTGCAGGGGACCTGAATTTTGTTTCCAGCATATCTGTTGGTCAATTCATAACCCCTGTGCCTGCAACTCCAGGCTACATGATATCTTTTTCTGGACTCCAGCAGCACCCACATGCATGTGTGCATGCTCACACATAGACACACACTTACATATGAATAAAAATAAAAATAAAATTCTTTTCTGAACAAAAGAGAATAATGATGTCAGAAAATGACACAAGAAGGCTGGGCAGATGGCTCTGTCAGCAACGACTTGCCCTGTAAACACTAGACCCGAGCTCTGTTAGAGAGCCCGTGGTAAAAAGTTGACCCTGGTGGTATACACCTGCAAGCAAGTCCGAAGCTCAGGATGTGAAACATAGATCTCCAGGGCTCACTGGTCAGTCAACTTAGCCATATTGAAGAGTTCCAAGATAAGGAGAGACTTCAAAACCAAACCGACCAAACAAACAAATGAAAAACAAGGTGGTGAGACCTGAGGGATAAACACTGAGGTTGACCTCTGGCCTCCACATGCATGTACACATAGATATGTATACAGCCATCCATGCATGAACACACACACACACATACACACACACTACAGAGATAAAATTAGCATTCTTGCAAGGCAAAAGAATTCTACAATTTATGAATAATCACTGGACAAAGAAGACAAACTGCGACTAGAGACTAGAGATGGCAGGATTTTTATTCATGCACATTCAAGTTGAGTATCTCTTATCTGAAATGCTTAGGATGACAATTTTTTTCAGATATGAGGGCATTTCAGAATTTGGAATATTTGTGTGTGTGTATGAGTGTGTGTGTGTGTGTGTGTGTGTGTGTGTGTGTATTTACCAATTTTATATCTTTAACGTGAAGTTTAAATTTCTCTAATTTTCCAAAAAATTGAGTATCAACTTGACATGCTAGAAATTCTAGGGTTAAAGACACGGGTCAGCGAGTAAGAGCGCTTGCTGCACAAACATGAAGACCCGAGTTCAAATCCCAGCGGCCACAAAAAGGTCTGGGCATAGCAGTGCATATCTCTAATCCCAGAACTGAGGGAGTGATTCCTGCGTCTCATTGGCCAGCCAGGATAGATGGAAGGGTGAGTTTGAGGTTTCCTAAGAAATTGTCAGGAAAATATAAGGTAGAGAAACAATTAAAGACTTCCCATGTCAACCTTGGACTAAACACATCCAGACAAGCAGGTATAGCAATACACTCTCATAACACACACACACACACACACACACACACACACACACACAGAGAGAGAGAGAAAAATAAAAATAAATCTTTAAAAAGAAGGGTGAGCATGCCACAAACAGTTTGGATTTACACATTTTCTTGAATGAAGATTAATTTTGAACATTGCTGAGAAATTATTCCTGGGGGGTATATTCAGTATCCTGGTTAGGACCAGAAAGAAGTTCAGAGGTTAAGAACTGGGGAGAAGATTCAAGAGAAATAGCATCCCAGGTACTCAGTGCTGCTTTGATGGGCAAGTGGGGAATGTGGGAAGCACACAATCTAAGACTTCTTACGTGAGCAAGATCAGTTGGCACCCAGAGTACAATGGACCAATGGTGGTATTCTTGAACACAGCCGCAAGCTGGAGAGGAAGGAGAGAGGAAAGAGTAAGAAGCTTCAGGGGGTGATTAAGAGGTAGAAGAGGTAGGTTATTATATAAGAACTCTTACCAGATACTGCAGGACCTTCTCTGTTTTGTTGAACTTTAATGATCCTGGGTGTTCCATAGCTGGTGTGTATTGTAGATTTGTGATGGTGAAGTTGAGGGTAAAGGGCACAAGGGAATGGGTCATGGCTGCAAAGCCAAAAAACAGAGAAAAGAAAATTTGTCTTCAGCTTGCATGGGATCCTTGTTTTGCCCTTCCTACAGCCTGCACCAGTCCTCCCAAAGACAGGCTCCCATTCTCTGTATCACAAGACTCCACTCAATTTTCCTTGAACAAATTCAAATAGGAATGTACACTTCCTGTGTGTGTGTGTGTGTGTGTGTGTGTGTGCGCACGCACGCGCAAGAGAGGTGGGTGTCCTACAGTCTTTACCAACTGCTCAATTGGCTCCTAAACCACAGCAGATATGGACCATAAATTAAATTACATGTGACAGCTCTTTACTGTGTCTGTGTTCATATAAATGGGAGTGTGTGTGTATGTGTATATGCCTATGTAAGGTGTGGGGCTGAGGAGTATGTATGTCTGGAGGTGGGGAAGGACATCCTTGGATGTCATTCCTTTAACATTTTCTGTACCCTATTATTTTTATTTCTTTTTGAGATATGGTCTCTTTAGTCTATGTTTCACCAAATCAACTGTCCTAGTTAGCCAGATAGCCCCAGAAACCTACTTTTTTTTTTTAAACTGTGAAGCACGGAGATTACAAGTGAACATATGAATTCTGGGAAGAGAACTTGGGTCCTTAGATTTTTAAAGCAAGCACTTTATCACCTGACCTATCATTTTAGCACAACTGATTGCAATTTTATTTTCTTCCTTTGTTCAATAAATTTATATTTCCTACACGGAATACCATAGCAAATATTTCTGGTTAGCAGAATAGAATTAATGTCTGATATTTAATTATGAAATAACTCCAACAACAACAAGAACAAACCCTGAAGGGTGGATGAAAATATTAGAAAATCAATTCCAAAGATTGAAGGACAAAGGGGCAAAGCATTGTCACAGCAGAGATTACCAGGAACCCATGGGAAAAAACATAGCAATAATGGCAATAAGAAACTGACAATAATGCATGAAGGAGAAAGAGTGAGCATTAGTGACACATTTCCTGTCCTCTCTATCACTATTTTACCAATGTCATCTCTGTGAGAATAGCAGGAAGCTAGGAAGATGGAAGGGAGAAAGTGAGAAAAGAAAGAAAGAAAAGGGGGACAGGAGGAAGGGAAAAAAGGAAGAAGAAAGGGAAGAATGAAAAAAAGGCCAACAGGAGGAAGGGGAGAAAGGAGGAAGAAAAAAGTGTGAAAGGGGAAAAGGAAGAGACTAATAAAGAAGGAAAAGAAATGGAGGAAAGAGGAAGGAAGAAAAAGGAAAGCAGGGAGGAAGAGATAAAGTGAGGTTGAAAAGAAATAAGGGATAGAAGGGGAGGGAGGGAAGGAAAAAAGGAATAAATGGTCATTAAGAGATATGTGTAGTAAGTAATGTGTTTTGCTTTGCTTTATCACATTTTAATTTTGTATGTATGGGTGTGTGGAAAACAGGCATGTAGTTCCTGGAGAGGCCAGAGGAGGGCACTAGGAGCCCTGACACTGGCGGTACAGATGGTAGGAAGCTGACCCGTGGGTGAGTGGAACTGAACCCGCTCTGTAAGAGCAGCCAGCGTTCTTAAACGTTGGGGCAACTCCCTGGGCCCAAATGTTAATCTTGTAACAGCAATAAGAAATTACAGAAATATTTCATCTAGGAAAGTAATATACTCTGATATAATATGTTAAATAAACTAACTTTCTTGAGCCAGAATCTTATTATGTAGTCCATTGTGGTCTTGAACTCAGATCCTCCTGTCTCAGCCTTCCAAGTGCTGGGATTTCAGGTGTGTGACACTGTACCCAGGTTTTGGACACACTTTTAAAAACCTTACTGTGTTTGGTAAACAGATTGCAGAGGGAGAAAGAGAAACAGAGAAGCCCCAGGAAAAGCTTTCTGTGGTTGGGGTAAGAGGCAGTAGTGGCCTGGGTGGGAGAAGGAGTGAGGAAAACAGTGGACCCAAAGTGATATGCCCTAGACCAAGCAATCTGATGGGTAAACAGAGGGTGAAAGAAGGAAGGAGGCTAAGATGCTCTCAGACAGAAAATTAAATGGAGAGAAACTCCAAGCGATTCCGCTAAAATCAGGAATAAGACGAGGCTGTTCACTCTCTCCATATCTATTCAACATAGTTCTTGAAGTTCTGGCTAGAGCAATAAGACAGCAAAAGGATATCAAAGGGATACAAATCGAAAAAAGAAGTCATACATTTGCTATTTACTGATGATATGATAGTATACATAAGTGACCCCAAGAATTCTACTGAGGATCTCCTACAGTTGATAAATACCTTCAGTAATGTGGCAGGATACAAGATCAACTAAAAAAAATCAGTAGTGCTCCTATATAAATATAAAGGATAAAGAAACTGAGAAAGAAATCAGAGAAACATCACCCTTTACAATAGCCACAAATAACATAAAATATCTTGGGGTAACACTAACCAAAGAAATGAAAGACCTGTACAACAAGAACTTTAAGTCTTTGAAGAAAGAAATTAAAGAAAATACCAGAAAATGGATAGATCTCCCATGCTCTTGGATAAGAAGGGTCAACATAATAAAAATGACAATCCTACCAAAAGCAAAGATTCAATGCAATCCCCATCAATATCCCAATACGATTCTTCACAGACCTCGAAAGAACAATACTCAACTTCATGTGCAAAAACAAAAACAAAAACAAAAAAAAAACCAGATTAGTCAAAACAGTCTTGTACAAAAAAGGAATTTCTGGAGGCATCACCATCCCCAATATCAAGCTCTATTATAGAGTAACAGTAATGAAACCCACTCAATATTGGAATAAAAACAGATAGGTTGACCAATGTAATAGAATTGAAGGCCTGGATATTAATCCACACACCTATGAACACATGATTTTTGACAAAGAAACTAAAATTATAAAATGGAAAAAGAAAGTATCTTCAACAAATGGTACTGACATAACTGTATGTTGACTGGTAGAAGAATACAAATAGATCCATATCTATCCCCATGCACAAAACTGAAGTCCAAATGGATTAAAGACCTCAATATAAATCTGACAATACTGAACTTGATAGAAGAGGAAGTGTGAAATAGTCTTCAATGCATGGGCAAAGGAGACCACTTACTAAATATAATACCATTAGCACAGACACTGAGAGCAACAATAAATACGTGGGATCTCCTGAAACTGAAAAGCTTCTGTAAAGCAAAAGACACAGTCAATAAGACAAAAAGGCAGTTTATTGAATGGGAAAAGTCCTTCACCAACCCCACATCATATAGAGTACTGAGTTCCAAAATACATAAAGATTTCAAGAAATTCATCATCAAAATCCCAAATAATCCAATTAAAGAAGTGATACAGAACTAAACAGAGAATTCTCAACAGAAGAATATCAAATGGCTAAAAGACACTTAAGGAAGTGTTCAATATCCAGGAAAATGCAAATCAAAGCGACTCTGAGATACCATATTATACTATTCAGAATGGCTAATATCAAAAATACCAATGATAGCTTATGCTAGAGAGGATATGGGGTAATGGGAACACTCCTCCATTGCTAATGGGAATGCAAACTTGTACAAGCATTCAGGAAATCAGTGTGGTGGTTTCTCAGAAAATTGGGAATCAACCTACTGCAAGACCCAGCAATACCACTCTTGGCATTTAACCAAAGGATGCTCAGTCATACTACAAGAACATCTGTTCAACTATGTTCATAGCAGCATTATTCATAATAGCCAGAACCTGGAAACAACTTAGATACCTTTCAACTGAATAGATAAAGAAAATGTGGTACATTTACACAAAAAAGTACTACTCAGTGATGAAAACAAAACAAAACAGCAAAAAAATGACATCTTGAAATTTGCATACAAATGGCTGGAACTAGGAAAAAAAACCACCCTGAGTGAGATAACCCAGACCTAAATGAGTAAATCACAAAACAATCCCACACCAGTTTGAAATTATGATTAATAAAAGTGTTATTTATTTAAAGGAAAAACTTGCAGATCACCATCCTAGACAACAGTCCTCTGCACCACCAAGAAAAGAGTCTGGTATTCCAAAGCAGAGTCCAAAGCAAGAGAGAGAGAGCGCACAGCTATGGCTGCTTTTTCAAACCAAAGAGACCACATCCAAGTGGGCTGGTATCTTAAAGGCTATTGACTGAAGGAGTGGAAGGAGCTCCTGCAGGACAGATCTAGAAAGATGAGCATGGTATGTATATAATCACTCATAGGTGAATACTAGTTTTAAAGCAAAGGATAAGGAATGTAAAGTCCACAACCCCAGAGAAACTAAGTAACAAGGAGAATCCTAAGAGAAACATGCATAGGTCCCCTGGGAAGGGGAAATAGACAAGATCTCCTGACAAACTTAGGAGCGTGGGGATTAGGGGAGAAAGGAAGACAGAAGGAGAGGAGGAAAGAAGAGGAAGGGGAGGAGAACTTGAGGGAAAGGAATGGTTGAGATGGGGGAAGGACAGAGAGGGAGAGAAAGAAAAGAGATATTTTGATTGAGGGAGCCATTTGGGGGTTAGCAAGAAACCTAGCACTAAAGAAATTCCCAGGAATCCACAAGGAAGACCCCAGCTAAGATCCTAAGCAATAGTGGAGAGGGTGCCTGAACTGGCCTTGCCCTGCAGTCAGATGGAGGACTATCTTAAATGTCATGATAGAACCTTCATCAGCAACTGATGAAAGCAGGTGCAGAGACCCACAGCAGACCACTGGACTGAGCTCCCAAAGTCTAGCTGAAGGGTGGGAGTATTGAGAATATGAGCAAAGAGGTCCCGACTATGATGGCGATACCCACTGAAACAGCTTACCTGAGCTAATAGTAGCCAACAAACTCAGGCCTGACAGTGAGGGAACCAGCATAGGAACAAACTAGGCCCTCTGAATGTGGGTGATAGTTGTAAGGATGGTGCAGACTGTGGGTCTTTTGGCAGTGAGCCCAGGATTATCCCTTCTGCTTGTTTTTGGTTTTTGGAACCCATTCTTTCTGAAGTAATACCTTTCTCAGCCTAGATTTAGTGGAGAAGGCCTCTGTCCTGCCTCAAAGCAATGTCCTAAACTCCTTTACTCCCCATGGGAAGCCTTACCCTCTCTGAGGAATGGAGAGGGATGGGATGGGGGGTGGAGAGAAAGGAAAGTGGAGGGAGAGGGAGGAGGGGAGGAAGCTGAAACTGGATTCGGCACGTAAAATGAGAAAAGATAGTTATTTTAACAAATTAAATTAAAATAAAAAGAAGAAAAGAAAACAATATAGTGAAAACAACTATTTTATATAACTAGTATATGCTGACTTTAGAAAATGAGTGATAAAGTCTTTCTATATCTATATTGCCTGCAAAGCTTGTTCTAAAAGGGTATAAAATGCAACTAGATAGGTTAGTGGTATAACAATGAATAGCATCCAGTATTTAGGTCAGGGATTCTCTTTCAGCTTTGTTGGCACCATGATCCTCCTCATCATCTTCATCACCACTGCTTTTGCAATCACTGTTATTATTGCCATCAATTTCATCATTACCAGTACACATCACCATAATCAACATTGTCCTCCCTGTGATCAACATCATTATCAACACCACTGTTATAATAACATAACCACTATAAACAATGCTTTCATCTAAACCACCACCACCACCACTCACACTGTCAGCAATGACACCATTATTAACACCACCAATACAATCGTTGTTATCATCACCATCCTATCATTTTCATCACCACCACCATCACTAAACATAGTCACTCTACTACAACCACCATTACTCATACTGTCTTCATCAATATAGTCATTAACACCATCACTACCAACTCCATCATCTCTGTCTTTACCATCACCATCATTAGACTCACCACTACCACCATTATTAACACCGTCACTACCAACACCATCATCTTCATTACCACCATCATCACCAATATCACCACTACTAGCAGGATCATCACCCTCACCATTAACACAATCATCACTAATACCATCATCATCATCATCATCATTACTATCATTCAACACTATTTTCACTATCATTAATCCTACCATCAGCATCACCAATATCACCATTGTAGCTATCATTAGCATCATCAAAATACCATTATCATTATCAGCACTAGCTTAGTATTAATTATCACATCATCAGTATTACAATATTACATTTTTGATACCACCACCATCACTACCACCATTATCATTACCATCATCAGCATGATTACTTCCATCAACACTATGAATAACACCATCACTATTAACACTATGTGCTGCGGGACAATGGTCTGTATCCTGTCACTTGTATTTTAAATAAATGCTGATAGGCCAGTAGCCAGGCAGGAAGTATAGGCTGGGTGGGTGACCAGGCAGGAAGTAGAGGCAGGGCAAAGAGAACAAGAGAATTTTGGGAAGAGGAAAATTCAGTTTGTAGTCATCACCCAAGCAGAGAGGAAGCTAGACACTAAGCAAGCAAGATGCGAATGCCTCACTGAGAAAGGTACCAAGCCATGTGACTAACACAGACTAGTATTATGGGCTAATATAAGTTATAAGAGTTAATAAGAAGCCTGAGCTAATAGGCCAATCAGTTTATAATTGATTTAGACCTCTGTGTGATTTCTTTTGGACTTAACAACTGTGGGAATCAGGCAGAACTGTAACCTCAGTCAACAACTATGAACACCAATATCAATACTATTGAAATTGCCATAAAACTATAAATTCTGAGGGCACACACTTTTTTGTGATTAGCCATATGTCTCCTAGTGTCTGGCACAGGTTAGGTGGTCAATGGAGGCTGTTAGTTGATGAAATTACTAGATCTACTATGACATCCCATTTTTCAGTGCATAATATTAGAAGTAGTGATATGTCTCCCAGTGTCTGGCACAGGTTATGTGGTCAATAAAGGTTGTCAGTTGATGAAATTTCTGGATCTGCTATGACATTCCATCTTTCAGTACCGAATATTAAAAGCACTGACACTTTCAAGCTCCTTCTAAGATAGGTGTCACAGACTGCTACATACCTGTGGTTCTGAGGAAGGAGTGATCCCCAGAGGTTTCTAGGTTTACTGCAGTAGTCCTAGGACCTAAAAAGAAACCATCATTAGTGGGGGGAAAAAGGCATTCTCATGGCAGAAATTTCAGAAAAGAGAGATGATTTATCTAACTTTTTGCACACAAAGCTTGAACTGAGACTATCTTGGAAGTGCAGACAAAGAAGAAGGTCAATAACTGCCCTCTCAGATCCCTAGCTGCAGTCAAACGGAGGCATTAGGAGGGGTCAGCCCCTGCCTTGCTTGGTGTAGGGTTGGAGTCGCTAGAACATGTGCTGAATACTCACTGCTGCTGATAAGTGCGGAGCTCAGATGGGTGAAACCTGCAGTAACAACGGAGGGTAAGAGAGGGTCAGGGTTGAGAGAGAGAAATGTCCTCCTGTGGTTCACATTCACAGGCCCTGGGGCTCAAACAATCGTTCCCAAGCTGGTGGCACAGCTTTGGGAGGCTGCACAATCTCAGGGACACAGAACTTAGTTGGTGGTCATAAATCATCAATGGGGCTTTTAAAGACATACTGTGCTGGGTTCTGGATTGGAATCTGTGCTTTCTGATCTGTAACAGAACTGTGAGCTAGCATAGCACTGCTATGGAGGAACTGTTTCAACCACCACAACTTCTGTCCATGGTGGATTGTCCCTTATATAGCCCTGAGCCCAAATAAATCTATCTCTACTTAAGTTGCTTCTATCAGGCATCTGTAATGAGAAAAGTAGCTGATAGAAGTACCAGAGAGAATTAAGGATACGTAGTGGATTGGGATTCATGAAGTAAGGCATATCAGAGACTCACTATCAGGGAAGGGTGAGGTCAGTTCACACCGAGGAACAAATGAGATCCTAGTTTGAGGCGGCACCTATTGAACACATGGCTAATCCCTTAAGAGCCAGGCAGGGAGGGTGACCAACGCGGGAGAGTAGACACTGCCAATCTAAGAAGAAACTCCATCCACATCCAGATGCTCACCATTAACATAGAGGCTGTCCCTCTCCAGGGTGTAGGGATCCAGTCTGGTGACACCATGAGTTAACCCATTCAGCTCCCAGTATAGCTGCTCCCTGTCCAATCTGTGGCCTTTGATGTCAGGGTGATATGTGCAGATGGCATCCACTCTGGTGGCCGTTCCGTCTTTCTTAGACCTGGGTAAGTATAGAACATAGTTGGGGTAGCTCTGCCTCGCACTGTTTGTTCTTTCCTATCTCTGACAGCTCCTTGTAGCAGGAGGCCCAACTACAGCTCCTAACTCAAAACAATTAGGAAATTCTAACAAGGAAATTGCCCTGAAGAAAATAAACACCGTAACCAATAGTTAGGATCACAAGGACAGTCATCCTTGTATGTTGCAGAGGAAGCCTATTCAAATGTGTGACAGAAAAAGAGGGTGGTACTGATAGGGGTTAGAAGTCCACATGATGCTAGGATAGCTGAGTCTTGTCACTGATTCTGAGAGACACGAGGTTCTGAGAACCAGGCTCTAGTGAGCAGAAGTGGCCTCAGAAGAGATGGTCGTAACGCTGTACTTCAGAGATCTGGCATTCAGAAGGCTAGAGTTACCTCAGGTCCTATGGAACACTAGCTCTGGGGATTTCTAAGAGAATCACAGCTCTTATATTATTGGGAAGAGATGTCTGTTTTGGGATCTGTCTGAAACAATGGCTGATTCAGTGTAACATTAGAAAGCCTCAATGTATTACAATCGTGTGTGTGTGTGTGTGTGTGTGTGTGTGTGTGTGTGTGTGTAGTGACAAGGTTTCAGTAAGTTTTATGGGCAGGCTGGGCTTGAACTTGCTGCCTCTGAGATTGTTTCCTGTGCTGTTTCATAAAGTTAAAATAATCTCTTGAATCATTGGGATGACAGATCTGCCCCATCATCTTGGTATTGTGAAGGTTTCACAGTCAGACTGTGGTGACTGTAAATACAGCCAAACAGTAGTTGAGAAGCCCACTGCTCAGCTCTGTCCACCTGTTTGGCTGAGTTTGTATTGGGGACGGACCTACCTGAGTGACACCAGTGTGCAGCCTGCGTAGAGGGATCCCAGACTGCTGGTCTTGAACAGGGATTTGAGCTGTGAGAAAGGAGAGGGGAATAAGATCGAACCACAGAGCAAAGCCAGAAAGAATTGTAACCCAGGTGACCGGAGCATGGTCAGAGAAAGGTGGGGCTTAGATGCAAAGGGCCCCTCACCAGGTACTGGAGGACTCTCTCCAAAGTGTTGAAATTCTTGGAGCCATGGTATAGCATGTATTCCTTGAACGCCAGGTTAGTGATGGTGAAGTTGAGCGTGAACTGTGCAAAAACAGGAGTGGCCACTGTAATGAGAGCAGAGAAAGGGTTACATGTAGGATACACTGGTCTTACCTCTAAGAAATCTGAGGATCAAGACAGGAAGTTTGAAACAAGAAATCAGATCATGGGACCTAGGAAGGGAAGACCAGAAGCCTCATAAGAAACAAGGTACACATTGGTCATATTTAGCAACGATGTTGCTTTTTAACTTCCAAATAGGTAGATTTAGGAGCACAGTTCTCAAAAGAGTGACAATTGTTGAAGCAAAGGAAGGCATTGAGATGGAGAAAGTATAATGCTAAGAAGAACTTCCAACTGTATAGGTACTAACAGAGCTACTGGACTATGGCAGAGTGTGTCACAGACACAGGAGAAAGTACTTGTGTAAGTGTGTGAGCCAGGCTGACTGACTAGCAATTGAGGTTCAGCCCCTACAAGCTCCCATCAAAGGCTAAAGAAACAAACTCAGGGAAGTTTCATGGTTTGGAGAAACAGAACAGGAAAAGCTGGAATTTAAGCAGATTCAATATTTAACAAACATTTTGAACATCAACCTAACTGCATCCCTTAGAGAAGCCTTCTCTCACAAGTTCAACTGCATCGTTCCCAGAGATTGTCCTTTAGTGAATACTGAATCCTCTAGAGACTTTCTTACCATGATTTAGGACAATGCTGAGTTAGCGTCAGTTTCAAAACCCATCACTAGCCATACATCTGTGAATATGTTTACTGCCATCCACTGTGAATAAGGAGAAGCAAAATGTATAGGGAAATTATAAAGGCTAGATGATTGTGTGTAAGTAACAAAGAAGATCACATTAGACAAAGGTAGAAACACTGCAAGTTAGAGGCCAGTCTGGGCTGCATAGTAAGATCATGTATCAAAATTAAAGGGGTTGGGGGTAATGAACTATGGGTGTAGACAAGCAATAGAATACTTGCGTAGGAGAGACTAAAATCCCTCAAGGACATTGGGATGAGTAGAAAAAAGCTGATCCCAAAAGTCATACCTTGTATTTTTCCATTTATGTAATGCCCTCAAGGTAATATTATCACAGAGAAGGAAAATACTCTAGTGATTGCTAATGGTTGGACTGGTGGGAGGGCACTTTTGTGAGGACGGAGAAGTTCTAGACCTCAATTGTGTTAGTGACTTTAGGACTCTGTTCACGTGATGAAATGCTATAAAAATATATGCACAAATAAGTGCTTATATAACTATGACCCACTCAGCTTTACTCGTCAACTTGGTACCCCCTAGAACAGTGGTTCTCAACCTTCCTGATGCTGCGACCCTTTAACAGAGTTCCTCATGTTGTGGTGACCCCCAACCATAAAGCTATTTTCATTGCTACTTCATAACTGCTATGAAGTTTTGCTACTGCTATTAACTGTAACAATGTAAACATTTTTAGAGATAGAGATTCACCAAAGGTGTAGTGACCACTGGTTGGGAACAACTGTCCAAGAGCGAGGAAAACTTCCACTGAGAATTGCAAGGATCAGGTTGGTCTGTGGGTATGTCTACAGGTGGTTGTCTTATTGGCTGATCTAGGAGGGCCCATTCCACTGTGAGTGGAGGCATTCCCAGGGCAGGCAGTCCTTAGCTGTTTAAAAAAATTAGCTAGGTTGGAGACTGCGAGTTAAGCCAGAAAGCAAGGCAGCAAGCATAATTCTTCCATGGTTCCTGCCTCCAAGCTCCTGCCACGAGTGGCTCACACTTACTTTCCGCAGTTATTTAACCTGGAAACATAAGCCATGATGAGAAGCAAAGGTAAGTCTCGAAGAGCTTTATTTTATCACAACAAAGGAGAACAAATTAGAACTAATAAGATCGGACTGAGGTTTATAGAAGTTAATAACTCCATTTTTTATTTTTATATATATTAAGGTTCTGTAAGGTGTAGCTATTGAGGGAAAATGGGTAAATGATATGCAGGAAGTTTTTATTAATTTCCAACAGCTCTAGAATCTATTATTATTTATTCAAAACAAAAAATTAAAGAGTATAAAACCACACAGCATATGATATGACACATGGAAAGGTGAAATTTCATAAAAATCTATGTTTTGTAGACAGGTGCTTATGTATCCCAGGCTGGTCTCAAGCTTTTTATGTAGCCAAGGATGACCTTGACCTTCTGGTTCTCTTGTTTCTACCACTCGAATTCAAGAATAACAGGTGTGTGACCCCACACCTAATTTTATGGAGTGCTGTGGATTGAACATAGTGCTTTATGTATGGTGGGTGAGTAGTCTATTAACTGAGGAACATCCCCAGTGCTTCTCTTAATGTTTTCTGTTATTAATTATAATTGCACATCTTCCTTCAAGTTACCTAATTCTCTGAACTTGCGGCTTATTCAGCATCTTGTGAACATGTGACTTATTGAACACCTTATCCCCCATATCTAATACAAAACAGGTGCTAAGTAAATATTTCCTGACTAAACCCAGGATGTAGGATTGCAAAGAAATGGCTCAACAATTATGATCACTTCCTGCTTTGTCAGAGGACCCAGGTTTAGTACACTGCACCCACATCTGGTAGCTCACAAATGCTTACAACTCCAACCATAGAGGATTGGACATTCTCTTCTGGGCTCTGTGACCAGCTGCACATGCATGGCATAACTCATATAGATGCATACATAGTCACAAAAATAAAATTAAAATAAATCCAAACCCTGGGCTTGGATATGTAACTCAAGCATTCTACCACTGAGCTACACATGGTAAGATGAAAGAAGTGACCCTTTAAATCTTAGTGTGAAGTTTTAAAGAAACGCATCGTTTGATGGTGGGAAAAGCTAAGGTACTGAGAGGGAAAACAGGTTATCTGAGATTGACACGGATGAGAATTTGAAGATAGCATCTCCCCCGCTCTTGAGAAATGCACAGAACGGGAGCACTATTAATTTCTAGGTTCCCTCAATCATCTCCCCAAGGTCCTATCTATGAAACTGGGATAGTTCACTTCCTGTAAGGAGTAGCAAAGAGAAGCGACCTACCTGTGGAGAGGTAAGGTTGTGCAGTAGAGGTTCCCGTGAAAGACAGAGACAACGTCACAGGAGCTGAGGAGAAATGGACTAGAGTAAAAAATGGTATTTGAGGCAAGGCATGAATGTCACAAGAGAGCATTTTTGCTCTCCAAATCAGGCTATAAATATATATGGTAGTGTGGAATGACAGTCCAGCCTTAATTTATTTTTTTCTTCTCTATGACCTTGGATTCAGTAAGACATGGATCAGTTACTGCTCCCACAAGGTGTAGTGAACACAATCATCAGACTTTTAAATACTCACTGCTGGAAGTGGGAGCAGAGGTTCGATGGGTAAAATCTACAATGAGAAAAGGAGAAAATCAGGATGCAAGGACAGAAATATGTATGATATAGCTGAGGCCCATCAGCCCCATCTCCAGCTTTCAAGTCTTTACAGTGGAGCACTTAGAATTCAGGTGTTATTGGCTGAGCAGTGGTAGCATATGCCTTCAATCCCAGCACTCCAGGGGCAGAGACAGGAGAATCTCTGTGAGTTCCAAGTCAGCTTGATCTATAGAGTGATTTCCTGAACAGCCATGGCTACACAGACAAATGAGAAACCCTGTCTCAAAACAAACAAACAACCCCCAAAAAACAAAGAACAAAGATAAATCTAGGTGTCATCAAGAGAACCGTCACTGTTCTCATGGATTTACTATTTAAACACATCCCAATTTCTACCACATGTTTCTAAGCTGTTATTTTTCAAAGTCCATATGGAAGAAGATGAAAGATTCAACTTCTTGTTTTTGTTTTTGCTGGAGATGGAATCGTTGTTTTATCTGAGATAGAGATGTAGTCTGGAGTGCAGATAGGCCTTGAATTCTAGATGTAACCCAGGCTGAGCACAAACTTACAGAAAACCTCCCATCTCACCTTGTAAGTGCTGATTGCAAACAGGGCCACCTCACCTGGCAAATGCTTGTTTCTGCTTTTGCTTCTTCTCCATCCCTCCCCTATTCATTGCCCTTCTCCCTTTCTTCCTTACAGTACTGGAACTCAAACCATGACCCCTGAACATACCAGGCACACTCAAGGCTTACAGGAGTGAGCCACCACTCCCAGCTCAGTGTGAAGTTTTTTAAAGGAAAGCCTCTAGTGGCAGTAGAGCTCAGAGAATATGGCCTGATGCATAGCAAGCATGGTAGAGAAGTTTTAACTCTGCATAGATACAACATAGACAGGTATAGATTATATACCTCTAGCCCCAGTGCTCAGGAGAGGCTGAAGCAGGAGACTCATCAGTTTGAGGATAGACTGGTTTACATGGTTAATTCTAGGACAGTCTTAGTCACATAGCAAGACTTACCTCAAAGTAAAACAAAACAACAAACATCCCTAGACTTGAGCTGCTACTGAACGACAATAGGCTTCATCCAGATATGTTCTTTGATGTGGATAGAGAAAAGTTTCTGTAGGTTAGAAACATGTTCAAACAATGCCTTTGTAATGCAGTGATACAGAGAAAAGAGAATGCTTGAAGACTCAGAGTTTGTGTGTCAGCAGCACAGTGTTGCTCAGGTAGAAGATGACATAGAGGAAGGGTTTAGTGACCAATCAGAGAGCCCTCTTATCTTAAGGTATCACTCTCATCTTCAGCTTATGGATCGTAAGAAGATGCTCACCATTGATGTACAGACTGTCCTTTTCTAAAGTGAAGGATCCTAGCTTGGTAACACCCTGGGTATTATGGCTCAGTTCCCAGTACAGCTTCTCTCTGTCCAGCTTATGACCCATGGGATCAGAATGGTAAGTGCAGACAGCATCCACCCCAGTGGCTGTTCTCTCTCTCTCAGGCCTGGGAAAGGAAAGGAGACAGAGAGATGGAGATGGGAACTCCAAGTTGAGGCTCAGAAAACCTTCAATGAGGGAGAAGAAGTGGCACTACTGATGAACAATTAGTGGCCGTGGTGCCAGAAGAATACAATCAATAATAGAGCCAAGGTCCTTGAAAAAAAGACAGAATTAAACATGCCAGTGTTTGTGCTATCCTTTTACATGACATCTATAACATGACTCCCATGCCCTAATAACAGAAATGTGACAATGGAGGTGGAAAAAGAAGTCTGAAAATAAGGTAATAGAAAGCAATTTCAATCGGTTTAACTCCTATTCAGCCATTGTGCAATGCAAGATATGTTTTTTTTCACATCTCTATGGCTTATTTTTGTGTGTGAAATGAATCAAGAGTTTCAGAACTGTGATGGCTAGTTTTAAATGTCAATCTGTCAAAAGCCGGAATTGCCTGGGAAAAGTCTTAATGAGGAATTAACTGGCTCAGGTCAGTTTGTCACAATGCCTGTGAGAAATGATCATTTGTTAAGTGATGTAGGAAGATCCAGGTACCAATCTTGAGCTTGTAGGAGTGAAGAAGACTAGCAAGTAGCCAGCAGACAGATGAGCATATTAAATTTTCTCTACTTTTCACTGTGGGTGTAATGTGACCAGTTGTCTCAAGCCCTTTACACTGTAAATTTTACATACAATGGACTGTAGTCTAGAACTGTAAATCAAATAAACATTTTTATATGTATATTGGCTTTTGTCAGAGTATTTTATTACAGTAACATAAGTGAAATTATAAGAAAACCCAGCATGGAGTGATCAATAAAATGATACATCATTATCTCCTGAAAGAAAAGGGAGTCTTATTTTTTTCAGTCTGAAATGGAAAGGACTGGAGAGGAGTTGTATGTCACCTCCTCCTAGAACACCAGGGTCAGGAAGTTAGGAATCAGTTCATGGTTACTGTATACATGCCCTGCATATCTACTCTGAAGCTCATACCTCAGTAAGATCAGTCTGCAACCAGAATAAAGGGACCCAATACTGGTATTCTTGAAGAGGGGCTTGAGCTGTGGACAAAAGAGAAGATGATTTAAGGGGCCAAGGGGAACAAGACTGAGATGAGACAAGGTGAGTGTGAGAGAGTTCTGACCAATCGATTCAAGATCCTCTCTGTGCTGTTGAATATTTCCGATCCTTGGTATCTCATGCCCTCTGTATGGTGCAGATTGGTTATAGTGAAGTTAAGAGTGAAGAGTTCCAGAGATGGCCTTGTACCTGTAGCAGAAAAGAGAAAGTGGGGAGTCTAATATGCACTAGAATGCAGGACAGCTAGAGTCGAAGGGATGCTTGCATTTAGGTGTTCTGTAACCAGTCTTCAGAATTGTCTCATCTAAGAACTAAAGCTCGAAATAATTAAACAGCTCCCTTTAGTCTTTCCCTAACCTGTACCAACCACTATTGGTACTTTCGGCTCATATGAATTTTACTATTCTATATCTCTCATGAGGAAAATCATACAGCATTTCTCTTTTTGTGAGGATATTCTCAATATTATCTCAGTTAAATGTGAGAATTACTTTCTTTTTAGGGCTTATAATATCTGACTCGATGAATACATTGTATTTGTTTTTATCCATTAACCTGCTCACATACACTTGGGTTATCTATTTTGACTCTTCTGACAACATGGATGTGGAACGTATGGAAATGAATATAGTAAATTTTTCTTTTATGGAGTTGATTTTAGGGAAGGGGGCCCTGGAGATACTGGGGCACCACAGTTTTGACTGAGTACTCACTGTTTGTGGGAGGGGTCCAGTACCGACGGTTATAACCTGTAGATAGAAAAGAAAGACTAATGAAAAGGTACATTTATGTAATCACTAAGAGACGAAAAGAGGGTAGGCTGGAAGGTGAGTCATTGTGAAACAGTCTGAGATTTATATATCACGAACAATGACTACATCTTACTTAGCCCTTATTGTGTGCCTGAAAATACAGATCAGATCTAGACAAAGCTCCAAGAAATTCCAGTTTTTTCTCTTATCTCATTTGACTTCCCAAGTATCATACATCTCTATCTTTTCATCCACTCCTGCAAATGCAGCGCGAATGCCTGATGCGATTCCCTGGCTTAAGAACCAGGACACACACAAAATAGCCTGATGCTCCACAGCACGCACACTGTGAAACACACTTTGTTTCAGCCCAAGTTTTGTAGTAAATGTTCTTTAACTTCTATCACTGTGGGTTTAACAGGGTATACAGTGTCATAGAAGGCAAGCCTTGAGGCACACCTGTGAAGGATTATGTAGATTAAGGGAGTCTTTGGGCGTGCCCTTAAGGGATTATTTGTTTAGGTTAATTGAGATGGGGAGACCCACTGTAAATATGGGTGATTCCACTTCCTGGGCAGATTGCTGCAGTGGATAGAAAGTGGAAAGCTAGCTGAGTACCATTATTTCTCCTCTTCCTCTGTAGTTAAGGACTGTAGATATGATTCAACTTGTTGCTTCAAGCTCCTGCTGCATTGACTTTCCTGCCATGATGGGCTGTGCCTTGAAGTGTAAGCCAAAATAAATCCTTCCTTCTAGGCTGACTGAGAAGCCAAGGACAATGACGTTGGGTTTTAATTCTACTGCATGGACTGGCTTTGTGGGAGCCTGGCTTGTTTGGAAGCTCACCTTCCTAGACCTGGATGGAGCAGCGGGGAGGACCTTGGACTTCTCACAGGGAAGGGAACCCTGACTGCTCTTAGGACTGGAGGGGGGAGGGGGAGTGGGGCAGGTGGGAGGGAAATGGGAGGTGGGGAGGAGATGGAAATTTTTAATAATAATAAAAAATCCTTCCTTCTAAAGACATGGGACTCATGAGCTCCAAATCCTACTTGAAGCACTGGTGGCAGGTGATGCTAAGGAAAAAAAGAGTCAATTTTCTTTAGGAATGTGAACCTTAAGTCAACCTTCCCCTAGTAGATGGCCCCACACCCGTGTGTGCATTGACAACACAAATCCTATTTTCTCATCCATGACTGTATTTCAGCTGTTGTGATCTTGTTCAGTTCTTGTGCATGTAGTCACAACCACTATAAGGTCACATGTGCAACATTCCTGTAATAACTGCAGATGTATACTGCCTCTAAATCAGGGAATTTTTTTCACAGTAACAGAAAAATATCTTCTGGACACAAAACAGAATGTGGTCTAAATAATACAGTGTAATATGCATTTCACATTATAAATGAAGGTAATCTTCAAGTGGCTATAAGGGAGTACATAGCTAACTATGAATTAGGTTAGATTATTATGCTAGAGATTGCCTGTCCAGATGTTTGGGGCTTGCTGTGTTTGGATGGTTCACCATATTTCCCGTGGTTTTCCAGAGTGTCTGTTGGTGAAATTCTCATTCTGGCATACTTTATAGTCTTGGGCAAATGATTTCCTCATTGAATGCACAATGGTTCTTGGTAAATAAGTATAACAACTCAGTGTTTTGATAAGATTAACACAATTGCAGAATTCTCACCACATGGAGTCCTTTGATAAGCAAGAACCACTTTTAATTTTGTGTTCTTGGCATAGCCTTTCTGTGACAATTTTTTTGTCAACATCTAGTCACTATTCAGTGTGTCATCTATTAAGGGCAGCAGTGTTTCTGGAAACTGCAGCTGTTTAAGATGCTCCATGGAGTCTGAAAATTAAGTTGATATGACAAAAGGAGAAGGAAGACACTCTCAGGCAAATAGGAAGCACTTAACCACGTCATTCATCACTCCCAAATTCTCCTTGTCATGTGCTACTCTAATTAAGGTCTTATGGTAAGCAGAAAAGAAGGGGAATATGGCAAGAAAGATGAGTAACAAGGGAAGGAAGCGGAACAGGGAAAAAGAAATAAATTGGAAGAAGAAAATGGAGAGCCAAGAGGATCAAAAAGAGTAGAAGGAGGAGAAAAAAGGGGAAAAGGATAGAAGAAAAGAGGAGATATTGAAGGAGAAGATGACAAGAATGGGAAGGAGGAGAAAGAGGAAGTTGAGAAACAGGAGGAAGAGAATGACGAGAAGACTAGAAAAAGGAAGAGGAGAAGGGGAACAGAAAGGAAGAGCAGGAGGAAAATGAGAAGGAGAAACAGGAGGAAATATTCATCCTAAGAGGTGAAACAGAAAAGAACGTGGCCTTCTTGCATGGATTGAACAGTCTAAAATGAGCCATTTAATATTAGGCTTGTATCACGGTGACAGAAAATTCTAAAACAATACATTGAAAGATAATACTGGAAAGTTTTGTGCAATAATTTCTCAAGTTTGAGACTATTAACATTTTAGTCAATATTAGTGCAGTGTAATGTACCTTTGGAGTGCTTACCAGCATCCACTTAACTATATAGACTATTAACTCCTTTTTAGTAGTGACATGGATATATCTCCAGACATAGACGGTCTAAAATCAACCCCTATAATGAGCTTGGTAAATAGTGTTTGGGATCTGAAGTGTCCTCCGGAAAGCTCATGTGTTGAATTCTTGATCCCCAACTGGTGAAACTGTAGAAAGGTTATTGGATTTTAAAAGTGCTAACTTCATCAATGGATGAGCTAATAACTGAATGAATTATTAGTATAGGTAGGGGGCTCACTGTAGGAACTAGGTCACTGGTTTCAGGCCGTGGAAAAACATATTGTGTCCCCCACATCCACTTAATTGCTTGCTTACTGGACCTCATAAAAGAGCAGATTTCCCATTTTATGCCTTCCACCATATTTCCACCTTGCTATAGGCCTAAAAGTACCCAAGCTACAATGATTAATCTTTATCAACTGGACTGCATTTAGAATTATATGAAACGGATATGTGTGTGTCCATGATGGCATTTCCAGAAATATTTCCCACTTTGAGGTGGGAAAACACACACTGAATGTGAATGGTATCATCTAGTGGGCCACGATGAGAAAAGTTAATAAATAATACAGGAACTAATTAACCTGGCTTGAAGCTTTTGAATCTATGGGACAAAAAAATCTTTTCTTGTTTACACGTGAGTCTGTTACTTTGTTATAGCAATGAAAACTGATACTAAAGGAGACCCCATTATGACAAAGATACTCACCATTGACATAGAGACTGTCTCTGTCCAGGATGTAGGGACCCAGTCTGGTGATACCATTGGTCAGCTGGGTCACTTCTTGATACAACTGCTTTCTGTCCAGAGGAGGACTCATGGGGTCATGATGGTAGGTGCAAATACTGTCTACTCCAGTGGCTGCTCCATTCTGTTCTGACCTAGAGTGATGAGGATATGGGAATGGGTCATCTAGAGACGTGAGAAATTGTACATATCTCCATCAAGCTGAGTCCCTCTTGGCTTTATGCTTGTCTTTTTATGGACTGTATCTACTTTCTCAGTCACATTCCTTTTTAAGTCCTCTTTCTCTAGGTCTACTATTTTACACAGTGGGTTAGCTCTAGAAAGTTTGTTCAACTTATTTTTTCTCTTGCTCTCATTTTCTTCACCAGTTATTTGGTTCACATATATTATGACAAGTACCAACACTTCTTATTGTTATGTTCAAAGTTACTCTAGGACTTCTTAGAAAATCTACCTGTTCAACTCCTACACTTCTCTCTTCCCTTTTCCCTCCATTTATTTCCCTCTCTTCCTTTCTGCTTCTTTTCTTTCTTTTTTCTATTTTCCTTATTCTTCTTTATCATTGTATTCATTCTCTCTTTCCTCTACTTTGTAACACACTTTCCTCTTCTTATTTCTTTCTTCATTTTTCATTCATTCATTCTTCATTCACTCTGCTACATTCTATTTTTCAATACCACAGAGATTTTTCTGTGGAGGGAAGGAGCTAGAAAAGGAGGGACAAGAGGTAGAACAGAAGTGGAGGATGAAAAAACAGAGGACAAATCAAACGAGGAGGAGAAGAAAGAGGAAAAGGCATGCATTCCCAGCTTTTACATCCCTCATTACTTGTGATGAACCATCCCACAAAAGAGTTTATTTTCCTGTGTTTCCTCTGCTTACTGTACATGTACTGTCAACATATGGCTCAAGCATCATCTACAGAAAGCCTCCACCCAGATCCCCAGGCTTAAGCTCAAATTCCATGACTTGGTTCTTTTAGTCTGTGTGTAGAGTTTAATGATTTCTCTGACCTGGTTGATGTATGGTTTCATGTTTGTGCAACTGGTGCCCGCTGTACATAGTGGAACTTTTGCAGGAAGAAAGTTATGGCTGCCAAGTCACAGAATGTGGCGCAAAATGAAGGATTCCATGGTTCCTAAGTGATTCAATATCCCTTTTTCTGATCAATGAGCCTCAGTTCTCACACAATTTTTTTCATGTAAATAAGTTCCATGAGAAGTGTCCCTTTCCAGGAAGTCCTGTCTCTCATGCACTAAATCAAAGACAGTGTCGCCCATGTCTGAATTTCTGAAGTGCTTCTTTCCTTTGTGTTTCTTGCCTTCACATGTGATATTCAGATGAACTTGACTGTGACAGAAAAGTCCTCTATGATATAAAACAAAGAAGGCTCACCTGATCAGCGACACCATGCATCCAGAGTAGCTAGAACCAATGCTGGTATTCTTGAACAAGGACTGGAACTGTGGATAAGACAAAAGGGTGAGTGAGTGAGAGGTCCATGAGATTGGGTGGACTGAAGGAGAGGTAAGCCATGGTATGCAGGCTTCACATTACCAGGTAGTTCAAGGCCTTCTCTGTTTTCTTGAAGTGTAAGGAGTCTGGGTACCCCATTTCTGTGGTATAGGGCAGGTTGGTGATTGTTAAGTTGAAAGTGAATGGCACCAATTCTGGATAAATACTTGTAGCTGGAGGGGAGAAAGAGTGAGAGTGAATATAACCATGAGCCTATGTGTGAGTATGACAGAGAGAGAGAGAGAGAGAGAGAGAGAGAGAGAGAGAGAGGAAGAGAGAGAGAGAGAGAATCAATTTCTTGTCTTAGTACTGAGCTGCTGAATGTGAGTAGAAGACTAGTAGAAGACTAATACTGTCTCATAGCCACAGTGTCCAGGAGATAAAGTACAGGATATCTTACCCAGAATCTCTTCTGCCCAACTAGAGGGTGAGAGTGAAACTTCACAGTGGACATTTGACTTCATCTTCAGAGGGATCCTGAATTTGTAGCCCAGAAAGTCTAAAGGTGGCATGTCACTGACATTTCATTGACTTGAGAAGGGAGTAAGACCTTATACTTTCAGATCTGGGCTACACCACATAAAAGTTTCAATGCACAGTGGCAAGTGTAAAGACTCAGAACTGGTCAAAGTGATGAAAATAAGCGACCGTTGAAAGGTCAGCCCCAAATTGGATACCAGTGTATCATGCCCTCCAAAACTCTTTGAAAACTGTGGAAAGTTTAGAGAGAATATAAAAGCCAGAGGAAGTGGTGGAATGCTGAGTGATGGGGAATGCTATATTCAAGGCACGACAAGGAGTTTGTGCTCTCGTGTTCACACCAGATGTGACTGTTTGTAAGAGATGAGGTCTGTCAATGACCCATGGTAAACTTGTGTGTAGGGGTCAGGTGTATTCTCAAATGGCCCTGTCTCTACTTGAGGAATGGTTGCTTGTATGGGGACTTTATGAGGCCCCATAAGGGTTGATAGGCAGTTAATAATTCATCAGGAGGAAGGGACATTTTCTTCAGCTGTTTAAACTTGTAGATTTTTCAGGCAGTGGTGGCACATTCCTTTAATCCCAGCACTCAAGAGGCAGAGGTAGGTGGATTTCTGTGAGTACAAAGCCAGCTTGGCCTACAAGAGCTAGTTCCAGGACAGTTAGGACTACATAGAGAAACCCTATCTCATAAAAATCTGTCCCCCACAAAAAACCCAACCAATCAAATAAACAAAAAAAACCTTGTAGGTTGTTTTCGATCTTGTAAAGAAGTCCTTACTCGTAGTCATGAGAAACTCATCAGTCAAAAAAATGAAGAAAGAAAGAAAATGAAAATGAAAAGATGGAAAGAGAAACACAAAAAGAGAGAGTTAGCCTTATGGTTAGGAAATTTCCTTAGGGAAATAAAAACTCACAGAGTCATGCAAAAAAAAAAAAAAGGGAAGACATGGGCAAGTAGAATAAGATAAAATACAGACTGACTCTAAATAAGACTTATGCACGGAATAAATTTATGGTCTATGAAAAGTCACAGACTTTTTAGAAAAAGAAAAATACAAAAACAAACAAAAAGCCAACCCAGAATTCCAAGAGCAACACATGTAGTGGCCCTGAAGGTTGGAAATGCATATAAGGCTTGGATGGCCAGAGAGACAGATACGAGGTACAGAACAGAGAATGCTGAGGCTTGTAGGTGTGATTTCTCATTGTCTTCTCCATGGCCTACTCCAGTGGGTGTCCCTGACATCCTCCATTCTCATTTTCTCCACATTCTGCAGGATGTATCCCAGGTCCACGCAGCCTAGTCTGGTCAACCCTGTCTGCATTACAAACTACCTCTAGGATTCCACCAGGACCAACTCTAATTGCCACAACGGGTCCCTTTTCTTGCACCATATCCAACCTCTTCCCTCTTATGGCTTGAATAAGAATAGCCCCCATAGGACCATATATTTGAACACTTAGTCACTAAGAAATAGAACTATTTAAAAAAGGGTTAAGGAACTACTTGGCAATGAAAAGGACCAATAGAAAAGTTGGTACCAGGAAGTGGGGTATTCCTAAAATAAGCATGACAATGCTGTTTGTCGTAAGACACCAGAAGACTTTGTGGAATGTGGGTGCCCCACTCAAGAGGTTCCAGAGAAGAACATTAGTAAGTGACCTAGAGACTGTTCTTGTGCTATTTTGGTGAAGAATGTGGCTGCTTTTTGCCCTTGTCCAGAAAGTCTGCCTAAGGTTAAATCAAAGAGTTTGGATTAATGGCATTGGCAGAACAGAATTCAAGGTAGCTTAGTATTGACTACCGTGTGGTCACTCTTATGCAGATCTACAATGCAAAGGACCAAGATGAACAAGGGAAAATACAAAATGTATTCAGTTTGACAAGAAAGGGAGCACCAGGAAATGTAATAGAACTAAGCCCTGTGTTCAAGGAGACAGAGTGTTTAAAGAAAAGCCTGATGCTAAGTGGAGTAAAGGGAGTGTTGACCTCAGGGTGATACCCTACCAATGGAAGCTGATGACTGGGTCTGGAACAAGTCCAAGAGAGGGAAGTGTGATGCAGTCAGCACATCTGAGAGGAGTTAATGAACATCTGAAAAGTGCTTTGAGATCAGATATGGAGATACAGCGTTTGGAGTTTGCACAGGTAAGTTTCCAACTTGTGAAGAGGAATTAAAGGAAAGTTTAAGAAGTAAAGGAAGCCATCAACAACAGAAAGCAGATATAAAGGCAACTGGATGAGGGAGCCATGTTCTAGGACCATCACGTAACAGAACTTGGCATCTTAAGCCACATGGTTCTGGTTTTAGAGTCAAGAATATAAGAAAGAGGGTGTGGGATTTCCCTCTGTGGTTAAGGAAAGTCACTGAGGCCAGGCATGTGTCAGGAGTGTCCCTGTATGGAAGCTCAGCAAGGCTATAGTGTGGAGCTGTAAAGGTGAAGCCTGGATTATGTTGGAGACCCTAAAATGTGTAAAATGCCAATTGTGAGATACTATGCCCAAAAAATCTGAAAGGAGTGGAGGATCTGAAGAGTGCTTTGACATCAGATGTGGAGATGCAGAGATGGAGTTTGCCCAGATGGTTTTGTTTTTTAGTCAGTCTGGTATTTCCTCGCCATGTTCCCTTTTCTGCCTTTTGCAATGGTAATGCACACATTGAGCTACTGTTTGTTGGAAGAGATCTGCTTGTTTATCTTTATTTAACAAGGGGCTGCAGTTCAGAGATTGCCATGACTACCAAAAGAGACTTTGTACTTTCAAATAATTTGAGATTTGATAGACTGGGAAATTTTGAAATTGTCTAATCTTTTGAAGTTAGACTAAATGTTTTCATTATAATATGCCTACAAGTAAATAGGGGCCAGGGATAGAATGTGGTGGTCTCAGTCAAATATATTTGAATTCTCAAATATATAGGGAATAATACTATCTGAAAAGGCTTTAGGCAGCATAGCATTGGGGGAGGAAGTGTGTTACTGGAGGAAGTGAATTTTGAGATTAAAAGCCAAGCCTATCTGCAAATCAAGATGTAGCTTTCAGCTACTGCTCCCGCAACTGCCTGCATCAACTTGTTCCCCAGGCACTCCACCACAATGATAATGGACTAAACCTCTGAAACTGTAAGCAAGCCCCAAATAATGCTTTGTTTTAATAGCATTTCCATGGTCATGACGTCTCTTCACAGCAACAGAATAGTGACCAAGATACTAATCAGCCAGATCTTCCACGCCATTCTTCAACATCTGAGTCTGTTGAGAGCAGTGAACCCCCAGATCCTGAATTTCTTGTAAATAACTTGTTTTCCTCTGCTCTGAGATAGCCTGCAGCTGCTCTGAGCATGAGACTCTCAGGAATTCCTGATGGCAGGAGCATGATTTCTGGTGGGTTTGGCTGGGGTGTGGGTATCCCTATATAAGCTGCCCCTGAACACAATAAAGGGGGCATTCTTGTTTCAAGGATGACCAGTGTCTCTGTGAGTCTTTGTGTGTTTAAATCTTCAGGCCCTTGCCCAAGACTCGCGATTGGTCCTGTAGTGCAGGAGCCACAATACAGGAGTTGTACTGTATCGTCACATAGTACAGGTGGGTGTTACATGAGTCTCCTTGACCTTCCTTATTTATCAACCCTTGCTAACCTGCCAGACCTAGCATGCCACCTACAAAGAGTTAGCTAGCCTTGTCTGGTCAGCCTTTCCTGCACCAAAATCAATCTCTAAACGTTTGCTACAACCCTACTTACCCACCCCAAACCACAGGATCCTTCCACACCATAGCCAAACTTTCTTGGCAGCCAGATCTAATTTCACATTCAAATCTTAAACCAGGAGGTACATTACGGACATCAGCCCAGTCTACTCTGTTCACTTTCATTACACTGAAGCCATTTCTACCTTCTAGGCCCAACACATCTTCTTACCCTCCTCTCTGTTCCAGCCTTCTCTAACCATACCAAACTTAGAACAACAAAAGAAATACAAATGCCCAGATTACAAGACAAAAAAGCAATATTAAAGAACAAATCAATATATTCTCTCCCTCTTCAAAATATTTTTGTATAAATGTATGCCAACCAAAAGAACCCCAGGATATTGAACTTAAAAGAAAAAGTATAAAGTTCATCTAAGAATTCAAGGAGTTTTAAAAAGGCAAAGAACAGCTCAATGAAATTAATAGGACAGTCATTAAAAGATTAAATTCAAATACAAATTTTAAACCAATGATGATGTGACATGCAAGACATGAAGAAGACAGCCTAGTTCTTGGAAATAGAATTTAGTAAGAAGATAGAAACATTGAAGAAGACTCATGATGTGATGCACAAGACATGAAGAAGACAGCCTAGTTCTTGGAAATAGAATTCAGTAAGAAGATAGAAACATTGAAGAAGACTCAGGGGCTGGAGAGATGGCTCAGAGGTTAAGAGCACTCACTGGCTGTTCTACCAGAGGTACTGAGTTCAATTAACCACATGGTGGCTCACAACCATCTATAATGAGATATAGTGCCCTCTTCTGGCCTATAGGGATATATGCAGGCAGAATATTGTATACATAGTAAATAAATAAATCTTTAAAAAAAAAAAGAAGATGACTCAGGCTGAAATGAAGATGGAGCTGAAAAATCCAATGACTCAACCAGAAAACTCTAAAAAAGTACTGACACATAGAATGAATCAAACAAAATATAA